TCCACCCTATATTTGTCTGTCTAGTACTCTTTGTCTTGGGATGTATCATCATTAGAACAATCCCTGAGATATTTCACGTGTTGCTATTAAACCAGAAACATTCTATTAATCTGTTGCTTGTCTCTATAAAAGTAAGTCAGAGTCTCACTGTGTATGGGAACAAAACTGATATGGAAGGCGTCTAGTATTGATGGTTAAATTATTCTTGAAAGTTCGCCACTGATATCCGCAGAATACGTGTCTATAACCAGTATGTGCACTCAGGGGTAAATGCTATTTTCAGTTTATTATAGGAATGTAAGACAATGGCTCTAAACATTAGGATATATAAAATAGACTTATATTATGTGCTTCAGTAAGGGTAATGTGATGTTATGTAAACAGTAACATCTCACGGAGGAAATGAATGCCAGTGACCGTATTCATATGTGAGTAATACACGCGGGTTCACCCTACGGATACAAATAGTGCATTCAGAGCTGATTATGCTTAGCAGGAAAATAACACCCAAGTAGATAGGCTCACGCAATATAATGAACTGTATAGATCCTCAGAGATTAGAAGAGGAAGAAAAATATGACCTCTTGAAAGGAGAAACGAAATATATGAATCGCCAGATAAATGACATAGATCTGTGGATGTCTGTGAAGATACCCAGAAGGAAAATGGTGAAGATTAGTGTTACTCACTGTAATCCTGAAGCGAAGGAGGGAATGAGCAGGCACAAATACTCCTGAACATAATTATACAGCAGCCATGGAAATAAAAAAGGAGGAGGTGGGCACATTCACCAATACTGAGAGTACGAAGCAGGAGACAATATTACAAGAGAATAACTCTTTATGGCATGATAAAGAGGTTTAGGGAAAAATCGTGTTAGATGTATCATATAGAGAAATAATTCAATCCTACGAGGAGTTACAGACGAATATCCAACTCTCTATGTATGATAAGCTCCATCAGCAATTATTTTTGTGAATATTGCATCCTCCTAGTTAAAGTGAATGGTGCGGAATTACCTATATTGCATTACACAAAGATACGTAGGGGGATCCACTCGTGATGTGATACACAGGCGTATCCAACCGTGTAGTCTACATACGTTACTTGCTTTCCAGTATTAATAATTATGTTAAAGG